ACTGCCTCATCGCCTTTGATAATGTCCACCGCAGTTGTGGACGAAACGTCAGGAAGAAATTCCCATAGACCACGGCTTCAAAGCCCGGAAAACAAGCATTCCTAAATGTGATTTAACCGGCCGTAAAAGCCTTCATAGTCCGATAAAATAATTTAAGTTTAAAAAACACTATGCTTGAATAAATCTTCATAGTCAAACGCACAAACAGATTCTAGTTCCTTCCCTTTAAATTAAAAGCATGTTTTGAGCTTTATCAATGTTTTAGTCCAGAGTCTATACCTGTGCACTCAACCCGAAACATCGTATGCAGATAGCTATATATTTCTAATACCTTTAGTTCTTCGTTTTCTTGATATGGATCTAGAGCTTGCTCAGGAACGACTCCAATTCCATTCAAAGAAAATGACGCTGTGACTCCACGAGATCTGACTCGATCATCCCATTGATCGCCTTGTCCATGGAGCACCCTGTATATCTGAAAAATTAAACGTTCACTTAAATTCGTCTCCGATTGGTACAATATTTGTTACCTTGGGCCCAAATACTAATGCAATGGTTGTGGTTGTTGAAAGCTGAGTTCTGATGAACCCTAGTAAATACTTGATGTCTGGACCTGCTCTTGGGAAGATGAATAAACTAAACAAATAAAATTACGAATGGAAAGGTTGTTGGAGAAAATGTGATTAATTAAATAATAGAACTAAATTATATCTTCGTAAAAGTTTACGATCTTTTCTATATTAAATGTCTGGTTTTATTCTCTTCATAATCAAATTGAAACTGGAAAGCCAATAAAGAAGGGAATAAAAAACTTGTCACCAAAATTTATTAAAATCCAAATAGAGAAAGAAAAATATTTATCAGTTAACTTTTACTAGAAATGTTGCAGTTCTTTTGCTTCTCAGTGTTTCTACTTTAGCACCTGACTATTCGTATTTTAATGCTGATTTGATAAAGAATCGCGAGGTTCGAAAATAAAATACTGAGAAACAAAAAAACTCAACTTAATCTTCCAGTTAATTTATAGGTAGAAAAGTGTTCCACGTACATTAAATAAGTTAAATCTAGACTTTCGTGATGAAAGTTTTCCATTCATAATGAGTTTTCTCGCTCCAGCAGGATCGTAAATTAAGACGATATGGAAATGCTTTTGAAATGAGGCGAGCAATTTTGGAATTTAATTAAACGAATATGGACCCATGTAATTTCTGAAGCGTGGAAAATGAGTGTGCTATTAGTAATAAACCCAGACAAATATCTTGATCCATCGCACTACTATGTGAGATTATTTTACCCAAACATTATGTTCACATAATTTGTTTAAATTTAATCAAGTTTTATTAAATTAAAAATCAAAATTCACATAACTGACAATTTGCAAAAACGAATTATCAGAGCGAGTTTTTACATACGGTATTATCCTACTTTTGTTACACAATTTAGTAACACATTCTTTTTTTTTTGTTCATTTAGGTCCTTTCGATAATGATAGCAGAAAATAGCTATCGAACCATCAAGGTAATTTTTCAAATTAATTTCCTTACTAACTGGAATTCTCTCTTACAGCTTGAGCCTAAGTGTGTCGCCGGATACCCTCTGGGTGATCGTTCTTGATTACTTTTTGATAAATAATTCGTTCTTATTGCGAAATAAGAGCACTATTTATCAATCTGTAATAAAAGACGTGAGGAAATTCTGTCT